GTGTCTAGGTGATCGCCGTCGAGGAAGTGGGTGTCTAGGTGTTCGCCGTCGAGGAAATGAGAGTCTAGGTGTTTGCCGTCGAGGAAATTGGTGTCTAGGTGTTCGCCATCGAGGAAATGGGTGTCTAGGTGTTTGCCGTCGAAGAAGTGGGTGTCTAGGTGTTTTCTATATGTTCGCCGTCGAGGAAATGGGTGTCTAGGTGTTCGCCGTCAAAGAAATGGGTGTCTGGGTGTTCATTATTGAGGAAATGGGTGTCTAGGTGTTCGCCGTCGAGGAAGTGGATATCTAGGTGTTCGCCTTCGAAGAAGTGGGTATTTTAGTTCGCCATCGAGGAAGTGGGTGTCTAGGTGTTCGCTGTCGAAGAAGTTGGTGTCTAGGTGTTCGCTGTCGAGGAAATGAGTGTCTAGGTGATCGCCGTCGAGGAAGTGGGTGTCTAGGTGTTCGCCGTCGAGGAAATGAGTGTCTAGGTGTTTGCCGTCGAAGAAGTGGGTGTCTAGGTGTTTTCTATATGTTCGCCGTCGAGGAAGTGGGTGTCTAGGTGTTCGCAATTGAGGAAATGGGTGTCTAGGTGTTCACTATTGAGGAAATGGGTGTCTAGGTATTCGCCGTTAAAGAAATGGGTGTCTAGATGTTTGCCGTCGAGGAAGTGGATGTTGCCGTTGAAGATTAAGTGTCTAGGTGTTCGCCATCGAGGAAGTGGATGTCTAGGTGTTTATAGTCGAGGAACTGAGTGTCTAGGTGTTCGCCGCCGAGGAAGCGGGTGTCTAGGTATTGTCTGTATTCGACGTCGAGAAAGTGGGTGTCTAAGTGTTCGAGGAAATGAGTGTCTAGGATTTCGTTTGCCGTCGTAGAAATGAGTGTCGTGATCAATGCCATCAGTCGGCGGTCTAGGGCGATTGGTGTACAGCAGCTTAATTCGATTCGTTTTTGTATGAAACGAAAGAATCTGGCAGAAAAAGTGTCGCTCTGCCTCGTGTCAAATGTTCTTTATAGGATTGTACTGCAAATTAGCTGAACGCAGCATAATATTTCAAGCATAAAATTATTCTTTTCAGATCCTGGTTAGAAATCGTAAATAATGAGAAATGGTCTTGTTTTAAAGCCGAAAAGTGACAGGGACAAAAAGAGTTTTAAGCCTCGCTTAAAATTAAAGTAACATTGGTGCAACCTGGCTTTAGATTACAAATAAGTTAGAGGAATAAAAAGATCTTATCAATTGGTAGCTGATATTATTTTAATTAAGAGCACATAGAGGTATAGTAGTATACAA